ACGAGGTTGATAAGAAAACAACTTTATTCCGGCTAACGTTCCGGCGATCCGCGCCGAAACGTTAGCCGGAATAAAGTTGTTTTCTTATCAACCTCGTTCGAGTTCAAGCAAAGGAAACCAACGTTTGCACTATGCCGAGGTTTAGAGATAGCCGTACATGGCCATCATTACAAAAGTTTTTTTTCGCAAGGAAAGCACAACGATATGGAAGAGGGGTAGAAAGGGTCCCTGGAAAAAGCGCAGGAATCTATTTTGCTACTGTCCTCCTGGGTCATGTTCATGGCAATTCATGGGAATGAGGATAGGGAATCTGTACAGCACTCAACCGCTGGGTCCACGGTTTATTTCCTACACGTTTTGGGTGCGAAACTCAAGGTTCCCATCGGTCACGGTATCGTATGGTCTCAGTTTGTCTTTGAAAGTGCCTTTAACACAGTTGATGGCAAAGAAAGTGTGTTGAGGGCTAGCCGATGATTCCCAGCCAGTATGGTGAGCCTCCCTGATGCTTCTGAGCCTTCTTGGAAGCTGACTCGCCTCAGAGCAGCTCCCTGGTCCTTTCTATCACCTCGACTACTCGTTAGAAGTGATCAAGGCCCAAATAAGCAGTTATCGGCGAGGAAGCGTAATGGACGAAACAAAGGAAGATAAAATAGGCAGGCTCTGGAAAGATTCTCATAAAAAAAGATATAGTCAACTAGTAATACCAATAAGTAGAACAGCTACCACGCCGATAATGAAAATTACTTGTCCCCGGAATAACCTGTGAAGAAGCTACCTCACTGTAATCAGAGGGAAAAATAGCTCCCAAGTATATTTATTTCTTCAGAATTACTTAGCCAGATGTTTAGGGTAGAAAGATAGTATTTCTAACAATTTACTAAAGTTCCAGTTATACTAACGCATTTCCAAGTTTACAAATCAGAAATCATTTTGAGTAAAATCAACGCGTTCCTCTCTTCTTTGCTGCAACGAGCATCTCGTCCTGGATTTTCTCCATCAGAAGGCAACGTGTGCGAAGTCGATTGTCTAGGTCAAAGCTGAAGAACGATTGATGAAATCTGAGTTCAACTGAAAACTGCTGGAGGACTCACAAAACAGTGCCTTGCAACCAGTAGTTGTCTCTGGCACGTTCCCAGTCCCATGGGGGTAGACGACCTCGAGCTGGAAACGGAGGGATCGTAAAGGAGTACCCAACAGGCTCTGTTCCGAGAACAACTCACTTCTATCGAACTGGACTTCAATTTTTGTGCAGCTGTAATAGCCCGTCAGTGCCATGCCTGTTATCAGGCTTATCGCTAGGAGAACTAATGGATACACCTCGTATGCGTGACCGAGGCGACGAAACAGAAATCTGAAACGACTTACGCCTTACAGGGCAGGAAAATCACAGAAACTACCTAGATCATGGCTCGAAGCTTACTACTGCAAGTTACAGAACACCAGTGAAAGCCTGCAGCTCATTGTGTGTCGTCAACAGCGCAGATCATTCCGTTTTTGTTAAGCTAGATTCCGCTGAACCTTTGGCGACGTTTTGCCCTCTCCTTCCTTGGAAAGCGAACCCACCAAGCTAGATCCGAAGGGCTGCCCGACAAAAGGCTTATTCCTGGCGGAACTACTTCAATTATGTATGCGGTTGGGCGAAGGTGGCGTAGTGGCAAGTGGCGCACTATCACACACGCATAGTACAGGCTCAAATCTCGAATCGATATTCGCCCAGACCTACCAAGTTACCCATCCTTCCGGATTGGTTTGTTGGTACCAGACTCGTTTAGGAGGATAAAAGCATTGACTTTAGCATCGGCGGTCTAACGCATGTCATTGTATAGGTCACATACACATTCAAATCGCCATACGATTCTACATGGAATTTAAATGCTAGGGCGCATCCCAAAATGGGATTGTTCAGAAGTCCACTGCATATTCGGTTGTGCTAGTGAGAGTGTGTTTTTCACAAAGCACGATCCGAAGCAGCTTCTTGAGAAGGTCTCGACTTACTTTTCCAAAGCCAAAAATTTGAAAGTTTGTAAAAAAAAAACGAACGGTTTAGGAGTATCTCCTTGTTGCACTTTCTTGGACGGAGGCATCTTAGGAATACGAGAAAGGTTTCGTCCATAACAGAAGTAACCCTGAATTCAAAACAAAAGTTTATTCAAGTTTAAGTCGACTCTTTTGAAGCCGCTCTCATTGCTGCGTCAATAGGCTGTTTTTCAATCTTTTTATTTCGGGAGCCACCTCCCATTTCTGGGAAAGGTCACGTTTGTACTTGACGGACAAAAAAATTCGGCGATGGAAGTTAACTGACCTGCCCTCCATTCACTGTAAAAGAAGCGGTGATTGCAAAAGAGTACGTTTTCGGTACAATGTTGGCGATTGGGAGAAGGACTTTTTAAATTTTTCAGATAGGCCACTAGTTGAGACAACTAATTAGTACGCGTAGAGCGGATCAGGACTCTCATCAGCTATGCTCGGATCAATTACCAGTGCTAACCTCACATGGTGATTCAACTCTTGACAGTATTCTCGAAAACTTTCTACATAAGCGTCAAAAGGTATGTCTTTGTGCACGTTTTTCGACCGCACGACCCTGATAAACCTGTACGTACACGTTGGGCGCAGTGGGGTGCGTTTCGTTGCGCGTGTCCGTCGAAATTAGGTCACGTCGCAGCCGTCGCACGCGGCAAGTCGGCCCGCGGTATGTGACAGACGTGGCAATTGTCACTGGGGCATACGCTTTGCGTTTGGCTTACGGCAGTCAGCTCAAGAAGAAGATAACACAGACAAATGCAAATCATTTGCTCTAATGACACTTGGTGGTACTGTAATGTCATCTCGAGACCTCAGTGTGATGCGCCGCGCGCGAAGTGGGCGGGGTGACCTACTTTCGACGGACACGCGCAACGGACGTTCTCCGGGCGCAGTGTGCATCAGGCTCGTCCAGTTTGAAATCGTACCAAATTTCCATTATGAAAAAGCCGTGAAGAATTATCCGTGAGAGTTCAAGCAACTAGATGGGATACCTACCTCTTCATTTGGAGGTTTCTGAAGTTGAATCTTAGACGCACCGGTCACTGTACTTGCAGAACGGACTCGTAGCATTTCTTTGAAATAATTGGCAGCTCGACAAATCGTCATTCTTCTAAACTTAGGGTCGAAGCTTGGAAAAAAGTAAAAAATAACAATTCTAACAGTAATGCAGCTTTAAAGAAGGCTCCGTGCGGTGGGAATTTGATGTGCTACTCTTAAACTTCATCAATGTTTTTTTTATAAAGATTGGAAAACTTGGGTAATTTCAAACTTCTTACCAGCTCCCAGAACAGCTCTGCCTGACCACTCCTCGCCCCTCCACGAATGAAAATGAACTGCTAGAAGTAGACCAAAAACGTCAGAATAACATGTAAAATGCGAGAAAAACCTGTAAAAACCTGCTAAACTTGTCAAATCTGGTTGGAAGTTGGCAAACTTCCATCGCCCCTTTCCAGAAGGTTCGATGTTCTGTAGGAAGGGACTGCAGGAGCGGTACTATGCTGTTCTCTTCCGAGTTGGGCATTATACGGGAGCTTTCTGGTAATGAATGCATGAGAGATGTCAGGAAGTAAGTTCATCCCTAAAAGGGAGCTTAGGCTACAGGAAAGGGAGAGNTCTACGGTGCTCATTTAAATTGGCGCTCTTGCTCCTTCTTCGATGTAGGAGGTGTTCTTGTAGAACGAGTGGTGGGAGGAAGTTCGACCACCGGGCTGAATCATCGAATGTGCGATTTTGATGATGCAGTCCAGGTAACCGAAGTTCATTCTAATGTTTGTCTGAGCATTACTCCATTACCCCTCGCTGTATCTCCCGCGAGAAATGGAAACCAATTGAATTTGTTCAAGAGGAGCGAATATATTAGGAAATCGTTGGAAAACCTATCCAATTTGTAGGAGGGGGGAGGGGTGGGGGATGGAAGGGCCGATAACGCATTTTTCACCTTCAGTTCTACTTTATCACAAGGATTTTCACCTTCTAGGTCCCCATTGCTACATGTTGGGTTTGAATACGCTGAATGCCATTTCGGGCACAATCTCCTATTATGTCGAGTAGGCCACCGGCACAATGGCCTGATACGCACTGCTGACGAGGCTTGACAAAGTGCAATTCTAATTCGGGGATCAACAACAATCCCTCAATGCCAGCCATCCATCCATACAGCGATGGAATGAAGTTCGACTCGCCCCAAAAGCCAGCATGCACATTCCGCGACTCCAGCAACCGGAAATACGTTTTAGCAGAACCTGATGGCAACGGAACAGGTGAACGTCTAGTTTGCATCTTTCAGTTGCCTACTATTGAACTTCAAAAATCAACATTCCGTCGTGATCGAATATTTGAAAGTTGAGAATATCCAACAAGTTCTTTTTTCTGATTTCAACGGATGTGGGCACCTGAGAAGCTGTTCCGGTCAGATCGCTCACGTTGATACAGAGCTTCTTTCGGTGGCCGAGGCAATTCATTTTGCAATTTTGATTTTTTCTGAGATTTCTCCCTTCCGAGAGGTAGTGTACAGTTTGCGAAGAAGTGCAAGGGCGAATAGTCAATCAGTTCTGTCAACCAAAGCATTGAAGTACCTCCCATACTTCTTTCCTGGAGCTACCTATGTTACGAAGCTTTTTCTATCTATACAATTCACAGGCGATAAGATGAGATCGAACCAATTTAGAAAGTCTTATCTTTCTTAAAACTTCCCATCCAATGTTTTTACCACAAACTGCAGANTGGGCACTTGAGAAGCTGTTCCGGTCAGATCGCTTACGTTGATACAGAGCTTCTTTCGGAGGCCGAGGCAATTCATTTTGGGGAGAGAGGTGTTACCAAACGTTGTTCTAATCAGAAAATGCTAATTACTCTTTGAGCTGTATAAGTGGTAGTCAGATGTGGATCCATTTTTAAAAAGACACCTTTCGAACCCTGCGTTATAATAAAATTGTCTGAAAACACGATCTCCGAAAACAGAATGTTCAAAATGCTTGATTTTTTTTCTGAGATTTCTCCCTTCCAGAGAAGTAGTTAACGGTTTGTGAAAAAGTGCATGGGCGAATAATCAATCAGTCCGGTCAATCAAAGCATTGACGTACCTCCCATACTTCTTTTCTGGGGTTACCTACGTTACGAAGCTTTTTCTATCTATACGATCCTCGAAGCCGATTCCCAGTGTTCAAGGCGATAAGATGAGATCGAACCAATTTAGAAAGTCTTATCTTTCTTAAAACTTTCCATCCAATGTTTTTACCACAAACTGCAGAACGTCCCAAGGTTCAACTAGGATGATCTTCACGTTCAGAGTTTGCGTGGATACATTGGCGACGCGCGTTTTCATTGGCCAATGGCCACGCTCGAACTCTAGCTATCGATTCACCGCAGGTGGGCACGCCCAACGCTAACTCTGAACGCGGACATGCTTATAACTATTTCCATCGATTGACAAAGTAAGACACAGCTTCAAATTGGAGAACACGCTTCATTCACCGAGCTCATATGATTCACAGGAACTATGTTCATACCGGGAACACGTATCAAGTTAGAAAATTAGTAAATAATATACAAGAGCTTCGCATACATTCACAGGAGAATATGGATACAGAAATATAACAGACTATAATAAACTATATAACATTATCGTGTTCCTCTCTTCTTTGCGGCCTCCAACATTTCATCTTGGAGGATTTCCATTAGCTCACACCGTTGGCGAGTCTTGCCTTCCAGATCAAAGCTAAAATACATCAGTAAGGAAAGAATCTGAATATGTACTTGTGTAAAAATAAATTATAATAAACAGTCAATAAGACTTACGCAACGGTGCCCTTTTTCCAGTAGCTGTCTCGTGAACGTTCCCAATCCCATGGTGCCATTGACTTGCCTACAAAGAACAAAAATCAGGGAAAATGTGGGAGAGCCTTTTATAGTTCAAGGAAAACTTACTCCTATCAAACCAGATTTCAATTTTTGTAAAGCTGTAATACGCCGTAGCACAGAAAATCGTAAACCAGAATCCAGCAAGGAACAGAAGAGGATATACTTCGTAGGCGTGGCCTAGACGCCGGAACAGGAATCTGAATGAAGTTATAAATTTTTGGCTGCTCCGTAGTAATCTGTGGATGTTCATGGATAATTTCTGCCCTAAATGCCCTAGTTCACCCTATTCCTATACTGTACTGACCAATTTTTTGTATGCCTTCCAGTGAGGGAAGAAGAAGGAAGAGGATGGGGAGATGGCAACAGACAGGGCAAGGGTACCTTGCTCCAATCTGCACGACTATACCAAAAAGAAACGGCGAATGAGGTGTAACAAGCCTACACAGCAGGGGTTGGGGACGAACACCATTCTCACTATTCAGCATCGAGTTCAAGCAGTTACCTACGGGCTTGACCATCCCAAATGGCCTGATATGATCCCTGTCCCACAAGACAGCGACAACTTCCCCTTGGTTCGCATACTTTGTTCGGCGTGAATGCGATCACAGAACAAACACGCCACTTGCACCTTTTTTCAGAACCAGGCCTAGTCTACTGTCTCTCGCTTTCTCATCATAACAAAAAAAGTGTAGCCAGCCACAGAACACACCACCTACCCATTTCGAAGCGCTCAGGTTTAAACTGCTGATCAAACTCAATTGAACGAGCAGCAAAAAGTTCAATTTCCTTCGAAGTTCTGCACCATCCAACCAGAATGGCAGAATTTCAAAACAATCCTGAACGCTTGAGCCCCATGACGGCAATTTCCTATCTGCTTCCTCCATCCCTCTAGACTCGCTCTTCGCTATCAGCATTCTTCGGTTTTTTCCTGCCTCGCCCTATTGAGATCTCATGAGAACTCACTGAACGATTATTCCGTTGTTTGTCCCTTTGTTCAAAAGTCCATTTCTCTATCGGACTAGTCCCAAAAGGTAGTCGCTGTGGCTCGGAATACTTTTTATAGGGTAATAAATAGGCTGTAGGAACACGAGTTTAGTCGGCTAAAGATTCTAGCAGGTACAGAAATCATGGAATTCTCTAGAGCACCCCATAAAGATAAGGCAAAAGAAGACAGTTGCCGACAGTACGTCAATCCTTATATGGTCGATATGATAGACCAAATCGGCTTATTTCACCTGATGGTTCTCCCATCCCCTTTGATTCTGGTGACCCCCAAACAAGTAAATTGAACCCTAAATCGAAACGTATAAGACACTGTGGAACAGAAGCTGTGCAGGAGCACCCTAGCCATGGGTACCTATCATTCAGAAACTTACCGGAGGTATCCTTTCTGATTCAGAAGATTTCCCCATTAGGTCCTTTGCCTTTCAGCAAGCTTCACAAGCCCACATTTTGAGCAAAAACTCATTTCCCTCATTGATGCGGCCATTAAACTATTGCAACTAAAGAATTACCCCAATTTGGGTGACGGCGTAACCGGTAATGAATTGAAAATGTGAAGGCAAGGCTTTTTTCTATCGAGCAGGAGACACCAATTTGGAGCCTTCGTAAAAATCGATTTCCCATTGTAAAGGAACAAACCGGGAGTCCAAAACTAGGAGAGCCTTCGGTGACACCCTAGTTTTTCGGGTGGAAAATTTTTAAACCAGTTACATTTATTTCTGTATAAACTCTACCTACCCTCCTTGCCCTTACAATTTCTTCGACACGAACAAAAAACTGGAATAACTGTCCAGGAAAGCCTTCCCTCATCCTCTTCCGCCCTCCTACGCCCATCCTAATGACATTCCTTCAGGGATTCCCTCAAAAACCTCCTTCAACAATTGAAAACTCACTGTCCAGGAGTGTCTCCTTGCAATGGTTTGTTGGAACCTTTGAACTTTGGATCACGGGAATAGTTTCGGCCATAGCTGAAGAAACCCTGAAATTTAGGAAATATTCAACAGATCAGTATCAACTTCGTAGGCTTCATAGGAGATCTCGGATAGAATATTCTTTTTCCCGAATATTTATTTGGTCCATACATCCAAGTTACTCTTTGTATTTAATTTATTTCTTCTCTGGTTCATAAGCGAGGTTAGTTCACTGCTAAAGGGCGCCACTACCACTCGTATGTATGGTGCGGAGAACGATATCCTCTTAAACCAGCAAAGATATCTGTCCATCTACGATCTGGATTTAGTGGTAGCTAGCTAATCCACGACAAATTGCTGTGCTCAGAGGATTCCAACCAGTAGCTATAGAAGCTAAGAACTCTAGGAAGTTTCCGAAAATCCAGTTGTATTAGCCAAAAAATAATTCTTGAAAAAAAATCAGGAAATCGGAACAGATCCTGGGCCACGTCGAGAAACGTGATTCAATTTTCTGAATTTTTTTTGAAATTTCACAGGTATACGTACAAAATAGTGTGGAAACAATGGAGCGACCTTGGGAGGCTTGTGTACTTTGTTGGCCTACATATTTATTAGTATTATGTTTATTTAGCTTATTTGCTTGGAAATATAGCTGTAATAGCTGTATTGGCGTCTAGCAGCTACGTGCAAATACGCAAAAACGAATTCTTTTGTCAGATAGCACGTAGAAAGGGCAGAGTGACAGCTGTCTATGCAGATGATGACAACTGTATGCCACGTGCCCCCACTGAAGACAAAAGTCACACAAACTACTATAGTACTAGCTCCCACATCATTTTCCCCAAAGAACACTTGGGGTACGACCACAAGATAGTGATAGGGCAATGTCGTAAGGCAGAAAAATGATGGCTCACCTCTTCCTCATTGGGCTTTTGTAATTGCACCTTGGAACTTCCTGGCTCAGAAGTGGCTGCGGATGCAGTTCGGATTGCCAGGAACCGGGAACGGATTGGCCTCAGGCAACTGACAGCACGAGTAATGGACATCGTGAAAATGTAATCGTGAAATTCGCTGTAATAGTAAGTAATGAAGTCGGATACGGTAGCATGACGGCATAACAGATCATCACGAAGTTGGACGAAAAAAATTTGAGAGAATGAAAGAGAGGAAGAGAAGATCAGAAAATAGCGAAGGACCAACGAATTCTCAGAAGGTCCCAGTGAAAGGAACCGCATTAGGCGGAGGGAATCTGCATTTATACTTCCAGAAGCGAGAAAACAGCCATACACCAAACGACCAGAGTAACCGGGCAACGCCTTTGACGCGCGTAAATCATGTACAATTCAGAAATAGGAAAGGCTAAACAAAGCAATGAAAGAGTGTAAACACTACACAACTTCACATCGTGGATATGAAAACCTATTGTGGCCATTTGCTACTCTCCCCAGAGAATTTATCCCACTCTAGGGGCGTTTCCAACCGATCATGTGCCACCTTTTAAAAAGCCTGCAAAAAATCGACCGATGAAGCATCCGTGACAATCTATTGACGTAGTAACTTCAAGAAAACGTTCGTGAAGAAGACTTAGAGAGATGAAATATCCTTCCAATAAAAAGATTCCCTAATGGCCTTGAAATCTTGCACTTTCAGGGAAATGAGAAGGAAATGGGGAGCGGTCAAAAACATCGCCTAATGGGTCGACAGAACATTAACGTCTGAATTTGGTTTCTGACTTTATTAGGTCTATACCTTGAACAATTCAAAGATAGGAAGAGGCATTTTGATTCCTCTTGAGTCGGAGCGAGTTTTTGTTTTGAGTAAACAGATAGGGCAAGCCGGACAAATGGAGCAAACACTGATGTGCATTAAATAGGACGTCACTGGGGAAAAGGGCATGCCAGATGAGCGGTTTTCAAGATACACGTCATGAAAAAGAAAAATCAAGTTCAAAAACACCAATTCTTAGCCAAGCGGAGCGACGTGAATAAAAATTCAGCTCAAAATCCTACCGTTACACAAGTCGTGCTGAAATAAGGTTGTCCGTAGGTATCTTACGGTCAAACCATGTTAATCTACGCCTACCACATAGTATGAATTCGCCGGGAAGAACTATGGATTTGATGTGATTTTTTAACAGGATTTTTGATTTTTGATCGCTTTTTTTTGTTTTTGGGCCGGGCGCTTTCCAGAATAACCCATTTATACCCCTTTACTTAAAAAACCCCGGTTGTTATTTCCCCCGAATCCCCGAATTCAGAATAGTACTCCTCTCGCCTACGATTTCATTCCAAAAAGCTTATCAAAGGGTCAGGCCAACTGAAAAGAAGGCACTAATACTTTAACAAAGAGAAACCCTTCCTATATCAATTCAATTCTAAGAGGGCATACTGAAGGGCCCGAAGAAGGTAGAGAGGAGGGACAGTATTTAAACAACCCTCGAAAAAAACCTATGAAAGTTGCTGAATGTATGGGAGGGGGTCCCTTTACCCATTCCATTTGTAGGACCGATCCTGCGTGGTATGGAATTCAGCAACACCAACTTACCAATGTTTCAGTGGAACAGCTGATTCTCTGCAGAACTGAGTCAGCTACAAAGAATGGCCTCGCTCTTGGCCTCTTTTTGTACTGCCATAATGGTTCTTGATGCTTGATCAAAGCACATTTTGACACACGTCATAGTCCAGACACACAATAAAGACACAAGCCACATACGATAGTAAGTACCCACATATGATAGTAAATAGTAGGGCAAATCTAACCAGTTGTGGGTGCCAGGAACTGGAACATATGGGGGCTTTGAGTGCATGAGCTCAGCAAACAAATACTTAATTCATGGAAACTTCAAAAAACATCGTCGCCTAGGCGACACTTTCGAGGTAACACTGAAGTTTTCATGAATTCGAGAGAGCTGCACTTCACGAAGCGACTTGACTACGACCGAACTACTTTATATTGAAGGACCGGTTATCGATTGGCGCTCACGGGACATCTCAAGCTCCCAGTGTGATGTTCTCGGCACACAGCGAAGGGCGTCTGGGCAGGGGCAGACATCTAAAGGGCAGCGCATATGATTCAGTTTGATGTGGGGAGCCACGGGACAGGCATTTACTCTGGGGGAAAAGAGCTGAGATGGGTGTACTTACTTATCACATGTTGTAAAAAATTTGATGTGTACGGAATTACAGTAGCCTCATGGACACCACACGACTGCGGCAACTCAAAAAATCCTAGAAAAAAATTCTCTCGATGAAATCTTTCCCATTTGGGCCGAGCGCTATCGACATCGAAAATGAATGTTGTTTTCGTTATCAGGTCACCCAATTCCCCTCATGGACGAATTTGCAGGGTAAAAATCTTCTTGGCAATGCTA